AAGCCAAGTATTAAGAAACAGTAAAATTACATTGGAAGCAAAGAAAACAGTTACTGATCTGTTATGTAATATCGGTAAGGCAGTGAATGCTGGACCATCGCATTCCAGATCTAGAAGAGACGTGAGGCAACATAAATGTGGTTCTACAGATTTGAGTAAAGAAATAATTTTATGGAAAACTTAAACAAAATGGACGCTTATATATAGAACCAGAAATAGATAGTTAAAATTACTAGACACATAATAAAAAGGGGGCTTGCGGAATTTGACACGCGTAGGACATATCGAAAGTAAGACGGACAGGGCATAATAACGAATAACTTACCAACTTGTGTAAACAGTTGGCAGAACATGGATTAGGAGATTGAGTCATTCATTCATTTTTTACGACTTATCAACCCTTTGCAGGTTATTTAATGCCAGGAAATAGTTTTAGATCGTAAGACTTTTTTAAAGATAATAATGGTTTAGTCATACTAATTAACCCATTACAAGTGGGAAAGATAAACGGATTCAAATTTAATCAGAATTTGATAAATAAACAAGAAATTATAATGTGGATATAAAGTGGAGGGTCAATTCTACATTACAATCAATATATAAACTAATCCCTCATTTTGTCGACACTATATTTTCTATTCGCATATATTCCATAAACTGTAAATAAATCTAAAAGACATGCCTGTGTAGGTAATCAGTATTTCTTTGATTGATTTATTTCTTTTTCTACGGCTTATCAACAAACAATAAATTATAATGTGGATATAAAGTGGGTCACCAATTCTATATTACAATCAATATATAAACTGATCCCCCACTTTGTGTTCACGGTAGTTTCGATACATTTATACTCCAGAGAATGTAAATATATCTGCAAAACATGTCTGTGTTGCTAATTAGTCTTTCATTGGTTGATTGATTTGTTTTCTACAGCTTATCAATCCATTACAAGTTATCTAATGCCAGGAAATATTTTTAGATTCTAAGAATTTTCATATATTTTTTTTCAGAGATATAATGATTGTTTTTAGTGATCCAAGTCTTACTACTTAACCCATAGGTGAAGGGAGAAGATGTGGATTCATACCTTTTCCAAGGTTATTTGCGCGTAAGCGAATATAAGAAAGCCGACTGGAATTCAAGTTGAAAGAAAAAAAATCTACTGTACCTTTTATTCCGACGTGCTTTTCAAGTTCTTTTCGTCGTTAACTTGTTTTTAGTCCTTCCTAAAAAAAAAAAAAAAAAAAAAAAAATTCGAGTCTCGTGTCGCTAAACTGTTGTAATAGAGTTATCAAAAACAGTAGAAAACCGGAATTGGTTTAATTTTATTGTAGAATACATAAAATTTTTAAAAGAGAATGTTTGTTTCGTGAATGACTCTTTTCAGCAAAAACTACTGCTGCTCCTGCTACTCCTCTTGATGTAGGTGTATTTCATGTCTTTTCTGAAACGTCCGAGTCTAAAATTGTAAGGAAATATTCTCCCTCGCAACAGAAACAAAGAAAACAATGCTTAACGGTTATAGAATATCGGTCCTACTATATTGCAGTGAATGATGGTCAATCAATAAATATTGTTCTGCAGAAGGATGCTGTGAATACCACGAACAGAACATGCGAGCAATGACGACGTTTTACAGAAAACAAGGACACTTATACTTAACATCAGAAAGAGACAGTTGAAATTTCTAGGATCTATAATAAAGAAAGAGGGCTTAGAAATTTTGACACTCACAAGAAATATAGAAAGCAAGAGGGATGATGAAAAGCAGCGCAAGATTTACCCAACGAACTTACGTATAAGTGTATCCGAACTGAGTTTAGGAGGGATAGCAAAAAGATAAAATTTACTAAGAGCTAAAAAAACAGGAAATTCTGGAGATCCATGATGGCCAACATCCCGAAGTAATATAGAAGATAGAAGAAAATGGAGTTATATGTACGGAAGTTCATTGATGATCGAACTCTCACAGTGGTATCAAATGTCAGACCCGATCAAGAGGTAAATGTTCTGTGCTGTAAACGTAAACTCTCTGGAGGAAAATTAATTTTTTTTTCTATCTTTTGTCCTTCACTCTCAAAGAATGGTTGAATTACATTAGAATTGAAAAAATAAAGAAAGATATTTGAGCTTCTACCACTGAGAATACAAATTAAATTTAATCCTCTTTATCCAATTTATAAAATGAAGAAATCTGTCCGTTATATGAAATTCTATTCGGCTACAAAGTCCCTGGACAAATTTATTTAATATATTTGTTGCATACGTAAGAGAATTGAATTTTTACACCGGTTCTGTTTGTCAGCCTCATGCATGTTGATGGCTTTATGCCTTAGTTGTTTCGTTTCATGAGGTTTTCTAATATTTCTCTTTTTCCCAGAACCCAAGCGGAACCTCAAGTGGAATTTATATATACAATACATCGCCAAAGACGCTAGAAAAAATGGTGGGCTTCTCATAACGTTGAAAAAACTACCTAACTCCACCTACCATGCTAGGCTTACGGTCATATCACGTTAAAACAGATTCTCGCACGATCACTGAAGTTAAGCAACGTCAAGCCTGGTAAGTACTTAGATGAATGTCCGCTTGGGAATACCAGGTGCTGTAAGCTTGGTTGGACGATTGATGCAGTTGGCTTACGGCAACATCACGTTGAGAGAATCGGTTTCCGTATGATCACCGAAGTTAAGCAACGTCGAACATGGTCAGTACTTAGATGGGTTACTGTTTGAGAATACCAAGTGCTGTAAGCTTGGTTGATGTAATTGGCTTACGGCAATATCACGTTGAGAAAATCGGTTTCCGTATGATCACCGAAGTTAAGCAACGTTGAACATGGTCAGTACTTAGATGGGTCCTTCTTGAACAGTTTTTTACAGTTCTTCCCCAAAATCCTTACCAAGTAAAGTGAACGGTTAGAGATAGATCTTCAACGTTGGACATGTTGAGAACTTGATGCCAAATTGAGAATCGGCTTATTTGACGTAATTTGATGCAATTAGCTTACGGCAACATCACGTTAAAAGAACCGGTTCATGAACGCTCACCGAAGTTAAGCAACATCAAAATTAGTAAAGTTTATTCAAAAGGGTGATTGCTGTTTTTGATGTAAGCTTAGATGTGCGGGTGGTGTAATGGATAAAGGCTAGGAATTGAAAATCGTATAACCGAGTTCCAATTCCAGTTGGATTAATTCCCGTTAATGTATTAATTTGTAAGACTTGTACATTTTTCTTTTATGTGCCGTGATCATGGTCCTCCACATCTTCCTGTTCTTTGTAGTTCTTTGTCTTTTTGCTATTTCTCTTAAATTCTAATATTCATTTACTCAACCCGATCAAGTATATTACGCGACCATCCTAAAGATTCTTTTTTTTAATCTATCCTGTGAGGATCCGATTAGGAAGAAGCTCTCCTTCTGATGACGTGATCCAGAAATTTCAGCAGCCTCTTTCCTGATGTTAGGTATAAGTTTCCTTTTTTGTTTCCATTTTCTAAAAAAATCTCGTCGTTGCTCAAATGTTCGGTTTATGGTATCCTCAGCATCTTTCTGTAGAATCTCTTCTTCATCTATGAGTAAATCATTATTATCTCAAAAAATATTCTCATAATCTAAAAATATTTTCTGGCTTTAAATTACCTGCAAAGGATCGATAACCCGTAAAAAATACAAATCAAACCATAAATCTGGCATGTTCCATATTTACAAGAGTTAAATGTAGTATCTCTGCCATATCCGGACTGGAGCTACCCAGTTCTCACTTTTCAGTTTCGACATAGTTCAAAAGCTTTTACGAGGCATTTTAGGCGATGAATTATTTCAATCCGACAAATCCTTTTCCACGGACGTAATGTCATAAGCATGTGGCTACTCTATTACTATTTCCATCGAAAATGTTATGACGAACTAGATTCCCTAGTTCCAGCAGTTCAAAACTTTACAGTTCAGAACTACTATGCCATGGACACAGTGGTGAGCCATCCCCATTCCCTTCGTATTCCATTGATAAGAAGGAAGTTCCATTCTTCTTCTTATATTTTTTGCTTTGTGGAACAGTCACCCGAAGAACTGTTACCACTACAATTTTAACCATTTCAAAACTAGGGTCAACACTTATTTTTTTTTAAATCGGTATCACCCCCAGGTAAGGCAGTAAAGCCACAAAGACACAAAGTGTTACAGGATGTGAAAGAATTAGTAACAGAAACATTACTAATGAGTAGGAAGAAAAAAGAGGAATCAGAAGAACAGTAGACAGCGATTGATATTTCATTTAAACTTTTTGCAGATTAAAGCTTGCTGAAAAGCATGGAGCCGAAAAGAGTTCCACAAGCGAAAAGTGCAAGAAAAGAAACTGTTAGCATAGAATTTACGGCTACATCAAGCCAGCTCAACTGTCGATTGATGAGATCAAGTACTGCGCTTAAATTAAAAAAGTCTATAGCGAAGTGCTCACCCGAACAATTATCATGAAAATATTTATAGAAAAGACACAGAGGGGCAACATTACGGTGGTGGGAAAGTGGCTGAAGTTGAGCTGCCAGATCCGGACTCTAGTACTGTGCTTAAATTTTTAAAAAAAGTCTAGGTACCAAGGCGAAGAGATCATCCGAACAATTATCATGAAAATATTTATAGAAAAGACACAGACGGGCAACCCTACTGCTGTGGGACAATTTCTGAGGCCAAGCTGCCAGATCTGAACCAATAATATTGCTGGTTTTTCTTTGGATTGGAGCTCAAGGAAAATATTCTAAGCATTTAATCTATCTAATCTATCCTGTATTTCTTTATAATGTACAATTCTTACGTTCATAAAACAACCCCATTCACTAAATGTCTAACTTGAGTGGCACTTTGGCGTTATATTGAGTCTATAATAGGATCAACGCCCCGTAGTGTGCTTTTTTGTGGCTGAGGCAGTCAAATCTGCGGAAATCCATCATCAGATGTTGGCGCAGTATGGAGCACACAACATGAATCAGCGAAAGGTGTATGAGTGGGTAGAACGTTTAGTGAGAAGAATTTTTAAAAAAAATATATAATAAAAAAAAAAAACAAGATCTGTCTATATTTCTGAGATGAGGTATTGTAATTATTTACCTCGTTCGGACTGTTGTTCTCATCTTCGTTGCCATATTCACGATGTTTCGGTCATTGTACGCTACACCCTTCTTCAGGTGAGTGGAATTTCGAACTGAACCCTTTATTTCGTCCACCAGTGTAGATTGTTCTAGTTCCACGTGCCATGCCTCTTCTGCATGTCTCAGTATCAGTTATCTCTGGCTAACTCAAACACAGATGGCGCAGTAGATAAAAGCGTTAGCTGAATCCAGTGATTTGACCCAAAGAGATGTGAGTTCAATACCTGGCTACGGCTGAGGTGAACAAAATCTTGGAAAGTTGAGTAAATATTTTGTATGCACATTTATTTTAGATTATAATGATACAAGTCTTAGTAATTAACCCATAACTGTAAGGGAAGAGGTGGATTCATGCCTTTTTCAATGGTATTTGGGCGTAAGTGAATATAATTTTTTGGGATTGGAACTTGGATCTCCGATTAACAATTCCGAACTATTATCCATTAGACCACCCGCCCATCCAATTTTACTGCACCTGTTATTCCCAAGCGGTCACCCATTTAGGTACTGACCAGGTTCGATGTTGCTTAACTCTGGTGATCGGTGTTATGACATGGCTGTAAGCCTACTAACGTTTGTTCTTAAACAATAGAAAATTATTTGCCAAAATAAAACGGTGAAGGGATTACTTGTATTCAACTTATATGTAACAATTCTTGTAAAACTTTCTTTTGCTATCGTTGTTTTTCGTTTTAACACTAAACCAAAATAATGAAGCACCCAGTGAGAATCAACGTTATAATTAATAATCTACCAGTTCAGCTTTCTGACCAATAACACTTCGAGGAGGCGCATTTAGTTGAACCTGGATTTTTAATATCAAAAAGCCTTCCTATTATATAAATCTTATATGACATGACATTTTATTTATATTATTAAATTCTCATTGAGAAATATTCTTTTACTAGTTTAAAAGCCACCCTATCGGGTGGCATTTAATCTAACGCCTGCGGAGAGCTCTTGATTGGGCTTTCATCGCAATAGTTAGGGAGGAGAAGATGCGATAGGCAACAATAAACTACAGAAGAACTCAAAATTGATCGCTGCATTTAAGTATTGCATTAATATTTAAGCTTACCTTTAAAAAGTTCAACGATAATTCTTCTGTCGTCACTTAATTTAAAGACAATTTGATGTACGTAGGTCCTTACTTTCTATGCAAAAAATTACTTTTATTTTATGGGTGACTTTTGCTGGATTTCGCAATTAATTTCAGTTATTTCCAAATTTATTTCCAAGTTATAAAAATTGTTACAGTACAAAAAATTTTGTCGCAAAAAATCACGCAAAAAAAATCGACGAAAACAATCGTAGTAATGAAAAATTGGGAATCCAAAATTTCAGGATTGTGGGTCAGAATCCTCCCCGGAATGTTTTTAATTTGCCCACGGAGTCGGGCTTCTTCACAAATGGTTTCATATGTTGGGCTACAGCCTCTACGGGTAAAGTTGAGAAAGTGTGACACACTGACATTCGCATTTATTATATTGTTATGGTCCGGTTCCTTGTACCACGGTGATAGTCCAAGGTAGAACCAATAAAGAAGAACTCGAACACAGGTATGGAATAACACAGATATATTACAAACAGGAATATATACAGAGAAAGTGTTAGTATGAACAATCAGGTTTAGTAGAGAGAACAATGTAGTCTCGACCAGTATCACTATTCCAATGTCTTGCAGTAATTGTCTGAACGCGACTCTGTGGGGGAATGCCTCTGACTCGACACTTGACTCGACTTGAACTACTGACTGACCTTGCCTACTACTGAGGCGCAGAATTTATTATTATGGAATAGTCCATTATTATTGGTAAAATCCCATAACATTATCTCAGTTTAAGCATTATATAATATCTATATATCTTAATTTACGCAAAATCTATCTGTGAAAAGTTTTAATGTTATTATTAGAAAATTATTATTATTTAAATTGGCACGTGGCCGAGTAATTTTAGAACGTTCGATCTTTCTGACCATGAGATTATTATGGTCCGGTTCCTTGTACCACGGTGATAGTCCAAGGTAGAACCAATAAAGAAGAACTCGAACACAGGTATGGAATAACACAGATATATTACAAACAGGAATATATACAGAGAAGTAGAAGTGTTAGTATGAACAATCAGGTTTAGTAGAGAGAACAATGTAGTCTCGACGAGTATCACTATTCAATGTCTTGCAGTAATTGTCTAAACGTGAGTCTGTTTCGGACTGCCTCTGACTCGACTCTTTCACGACTTGAACTACTGATTCACGATATTGAGTCAATGTTTGCCACTGGGGCAACATGTGACACAAGGTCGGTTATTTTTTGTGGGTTTTCATGAGCCCGTGGTCTCGGCCCAAAAATAATGCCCGTTTGAACCCGTATAAACGGGTTCAGGAAAAGTTTACCTCCCCGAAGGAGACTCCGCCCTTCGGCGTAGCCTCCTTTCAGGTTCCTCTCCGTCCGTAGACAGAGAGTTGAAAAAAATGCCGGTCAAGTTAAAGACAAACTGCCAATCCTGAGGCGCAGTATTTTTATTGGAATAGTCCATTATTATTATTATGGGTAGAATCCCATAACATATATAGATGTCTGTAAAGCATTCTTTTGATGTCGCTGGTTTTTAGTTTTGACACAAGACCAGAAGAATGAGGCGCCCAGTGAGGATCAAACTTAGAACTAATAATCTACCAGTTCAGCTTTCAGACTTTTTCAACGTATCAACGTGATGTGGTCGTAAGCCTTGAAATTTCTGGGACCCATTATGAGGAATGCAAAAAAAAATCATACATTGTTGCGTCCTTGATCAATGAAAAAAAAGCTTTAAAGCATTTCAACATAAAGGGTTAAACTGTTATCGTTCTTAAATAAAAATCAAAAAAATACTTATATCCTACTCTTAACAACATTTTCGTGTAGAAACCCTGATTAAATCTTTTTTTCAATGTAATATTTTTAAACAATTAGTAACAAGAATATCTTCCCGTAAAGCCATCTATGTTCGTATATACCAACTCGATTCCCGTCTATTTAACATATTTCATGTCGGATAATATGACGCCTAAGTTTTAATATTATATTTATGTTTGGAAAATAAATTCTAATTCAAATAAAAATGTCTTAAATGGAATAAATTTAAATATATGAAAATGAGAATTTTTTTGAATGTAACGCAACAATTCAACTTTTTAAAAATTTAGGCAGGAAAAGAAATATTTTTGAATGAACGTCCAACCTGAAATCACGAGCTTTCCTCTGATCTGAAACAGCAAAAACGATTTTTTATACAGCTGCATGGATTGATGCAATATTTGCATGCGAATCACGATGCATTTGATTTCGCGTTATTTGAAACTGAGACCGCCCGGCATAAAACAGTGGGCGCCGCCATTTTGGTTTTTTTTTACCGTTTGAAGGACCAGAGTTTATACTTACGCAGATTAAATTTATTTTTTTTTTTAATCATAAAAACAATTTTCCCCACAGAATCACAAGTGACAAATAAAGAAACTTCAATTATAATCCCAACCCCTTCATGTTGTTATCTATCATACATAATAATAATCTTTATTTTACAAATACTTTTTACGAATTTTGGTTTCATTTAAAAAAACCCTTTCAATCTTTGGATAATTTAATAAATTAAAAATATTGGGTTTTAAAATTAGTCAAATAGAAGTAGATTGATGTCGGCATTCAGTATGGTTTTAAAATCTTTTAAGGAGAAATTTGATGAAAAAAAAAAAATATATATATTATATTAAGAAGGGAAGAATTATTTAAAATTTAGAATTTTTTCACAAAATTTTTATTTTTTTATTTTCATGACGCTTAGGTTCAGAACAATTTTTACAGCAGCCATAGTAGATGTGGTGTAATTGGGAAAGATTTGATGGAGCCTCAATTTTTCTCCAGGTCATTTTTTAATTATGATTTTTTTTTTTCCTAGACTAGCTTTTTTAACCCAAATTATATAGCCCAGTCTGTCCTATTTTTATATATATAGCTTGGGGGATTGAACGGGACCTTTCCCAAGGGTATTAGCACCTATTGAATTTGATGGATTGATTGAATTCGAACTAAAATTCTTTGATTAAAAATTTTATTATATCACCCCATGTAAATTAATAAAGCCATATTAAAATTTTTTTTTTTTTGAAAGAAATAGTCAAAAAAAAAGAATTTTTAGAAAGGACCAAGAACAAAAGAAGAAGAATCAGGACAGTAAAAAGTCATTATTTACATTGCATTTAAATTTCAAAAGATTAAAGTTGCCTGGAAAGTATGGAGCCTGGAGTTCCATATCTTTTAAAGTGACAGAAAAGAAATTGTTAGCATAGAACTTACGGTTACATTAAAATTTATAAAAAACTGTATTATGATGAGAATTTTTTGTCAATCTATAAGGCCGTGGATGTAATATTTGTGAGAGAGAAGAAATTTTTAGCAATTAGAAAATTTTTACATCTAGCCAACAAATCAACTGTATATTTGAGACCCCATCAGTTTAGTCAGACAGTCAGTTATAAAATTTAAAAAATTTATTTTAATATCAATCATGTATATTTCTGATACATAACTGATTTTATTTATTTCTAATTTAATTCATAAAAAATTTAGACCAATTGTCATCCCAGGCTATAGAACCCCTTTATGTCCTGCTATTTATCCATAGCTGGGAGGAGAAGAGGATTCATACGTTTTAAAACTTGGAATATTAGCACGTAAGTCAGTCATTTAAATGCCATGCATGATACATTGCTTATGCGATCATGGATCTTTCAATACATGACTAACGAGGCTTTTTTTTTTCCCGCAGTAGGTTGCCATTTCAAAAACTGTCGGTAGAATAAATGAATATTGAAAGCATTTACTTAAATTTAAATAATTTCCTGTTAAAGAATAAAAGGATTTATGTAATTTTTAGGGTATGAAAACGTTGAATGTAATGAATTAGACTGAATTTGAACTTTATATCTGATTTAAATACTGAAATAAATCCATTACTTCACCGTGCCTAGTACTGCGCTTAAATTTATAAGGTCGATTTGCAATAACGCTGAGTACATAAGAACAATTCCATGAAAATATTCATATTAAAAATATATAGTGAGGTAATTTTATATATGAGAAAAAACTAAGCCTGAGACGCCAGATCAGGACCAATAATATTAAATGATTATTCTTATTTTAATCTAGAAAGTTAAATGAATGAGGATTAACGAAAACGGAGGTTGGAAATGAAATGATAATCTTTATAACATCAACAAAATACAATACTCGCCAGCGACGTGAATAGGTAAACCACTGCTAGTGTTGACTTTAGACAAATATTACGATATTTATATGCCTCCCACGAGGTAGGATGCGGCAAAAAGACCAAATTTATGCATTCGTATTGAAATCCGATTTCATTATAATTAAAAACAAAATTGCCGTAGATCACGCATACGCGGGAATTTAAAATGTTTTTATCGGAAAGACTTGCCCTTTGGCATAGCCTCGTCGGGGTTCCTCTATGCTTTTTATCAAGAATTTTTCCCACGCTGACAGCTATTTAGATAATTAACTTAGACAATATATATATACTTATAATCGTGTCCAATGTATTTATGAGGATTGGGATACAGCCATTAGTGTTCATAGGTACGGTATATAGCAATTCTTTAGATTTTATGAAGGATCTCTAGATATCTGATGGGAGCACCAACCATATGTGGAGTCAATATTCTAAGCATGGACGAATGGTAGACTTAAAGATATTAAGATAGACTCTGGAAAGAAAAATTATCAAGTACCACACAGTGGAACAACATTTTTAGTATCTGACCTAGAAGTTGATTTGATATAAACAAGTTTAATAAAACTTTATGTGTGAAGAAATATGATTAGTTATATATTATAATAAAAATTTGTCTTATTTTTGGTGGCCGCTGGAAGACCCTATGTCTATCAAAAGGACTCTGCACGATGCCACACAAGCAGGATAACTCAGTCATGGCTGTTAGACAATATCTGCGACCACATGACCCCTATTTATATTCCCCAGACGGCAATTACCCCGCATTAATGGGGATTATAATTTCCTGTTTGCTGAGCGAGACCAACAAAACTCCTTGTAACATCAAAGATGAACTGACGGCAAGGATTATAGTAACATTCACCAATTTAAACAAGGAGACCGTCTAGAAGAGTTGCAGGAGATTCCGAATTTCCCCTGAAGGGCGGGATTGAAGCCAATAGCGATTTTATTGAATAAATTTATTCTTTAGTATTTCAAGATATTTTTGTGCAATTTTGGTAAATATATCTGTTAAAATGAGATGTCAGTGTTTATTTTCATTTTTGCGTCAATTGAATCAAAATTACCCGTCAGCTGACTATGCTCACATCCAATGTTTGGTCTCTGCAATGTCGAATGTAAGATAGACTCTGGAGAGAAAAACGATCTAACACGACACAGTGGAACAAAATTTTTAACATCTGACCTAGCAGTTGATTGGATATAATCTTTCCACTTCATGTGAAGAAATCCTAGTCACCGTTGCGTGAATTTCATTTGAAAAATCCTTGATAAAGTAAGTGACATTTGCATCGTACACTTGTTATCAATGATTAGTTGGGCCTTAAAATCTGTCTTATATTCTTATCGAAAGTTGTTGGGATTTCAACACAAATAATCAGACGTCATACAACTCAGTTGAGATGAGGTTCGCTAATAAAAACTGAATAGCATTGTGCAGGCAATCATTAAGTAGCGACTTAATTACAATTCCATATGTAGTCGATTAACAGAGTTTTGCTCGCTAGCATTAAAATGAAAGAAGGAAGGAAAAAGGGAGAGGTTTGGGGAAGGAAGCAAGGAGAATAAAAAGGAAATGGGGGGGGAGAAGGAAATAAATAAGGGGAAAAGGAAGAAAGATAGAAAACGCGAAATAGTCAGAAAAAGAAAGAAGAGGTAGAGGGGGCAGCAAAGACAGCAGAAAGTTCGATGAAAGGAAGAAGGAAAAGTAGTTGGAATAAAGAGAAAAGAAGAAAAAAGAGAAATCGGAAAAAAGAAAGAAAGGAGGAATGAAAAAGAGAGAAGGTGACAGAGAGGTAGAAGGAAAGAAAAAAAGGAAAAAATGATGATGATGATGATGATGAAGAAGAAGAAGAAGAAGGAAGGAAGGAAGGAAGGAAGGAAGGAAGGAAGGAAGGAAGGAAGGAAGGAAGAAGGTGGAGTAGGAGAAAGCAAAGAGAGTAGAAAGGACGATGAAATGAAGACGGAAACAAATATTTGGAAAAAAGCAGAAAGAAAGGCAAACACCAAATAGTCGGAACAAGGAAGGAAGGATGGGAGGAAAATAGAGAAGAAGAAGAAGAAGAAGAAGAAGAAGAAGAAGAATGGAATAAGTTTGAAGAGAAGCTAAAATGTGGCTCAATGGGAGATAGAGAAGGGTAGAAAGAATGGAAATATGAAGAGTAGAAGAAATGGGATTCGAAGGCATGAACAAAAGAGAAAAGACGATAGGAAAGAGAAAGGAGGAAGGATGGAGAGAAAAGATAAATTAGAAATAGATAAAAAGAGAAGGAAGGAAGGAAGGAAGGAAGGAAGGAAGGAAGGAAGGAAGGAAGGAAGGAAGGGAGACAATATGTGGCAGAAGAGGGAAAATGTGTTAAGAAAATGACAGAATAGAAGTAAATAAAATGAATGGTCAGAAGAAAGAAAGAAAGAAAGAAAGAAAAGAAAGACAAAAGAAAGAAAAGATGATGAACAATAAAAAAAGCTAAGGGACAAAAAAAGAAAAGAAAGAAAAAAGAAAAAAGAATAAAAAAAGAAAGAAAACGCATTTTTGATTGAAAAAAGAAAGAAAGAAAGAAAGTAAAAAAAAAAAAAATCAAAGAACAGTTAGAAAAGAAAAAAGAAAGGCAAAGAAAAAAAAACGCAGGATTATGACAATGAAAAAGAGGGACAAAAGAAAAGAAAGTAAAAAGAAAAGTATAAAAAATCAAGCTAACCGGTGATTGGAAAAGAAAGAAAGAAAGAAAGAAAGAAAGAAAGAAAGAAAGAAAGAAAGAAAGAAAGAAAACGCAGGATTATGACAATGAAAAAGAGGGACAAAAGAAAAGAAAGTAAAAAGAAAAGTATAAAAAATCAAGCTAACCGGTGATTGGAAAAGAAAGAAAGAAAGAAAGAAAGAAAGAAAGAAAGAAAGAAAAAGAAAGAAAGGAAGAGGAAGATGATAAAGAAATGAGAGAAGGAAGGAAGGAAGGAAGGAAGGAAGGAAGGAAGGAAGGAAGACTGTTTAAGGGAAAATAAATAATTGGTAGGAGAGAGGAGGTGGGTACGTAAGAGTGAGAAATATAAAAGTAATAAATAGAAAATATGCCTGGTAGGAAGGAAGATGGTAGAAGAGAGAAACGCGATCAGGTAAATGACAGCAAAGAAGAAAAGAAATAAATAAGAATATACCTTTATATATCTCAGCTTCAGTTAATCCCCCTTGGTAACTCAACTTGCCAAGTTTTTGCCCCCCTCTGCTGTGGCCAGTTATTGAACTCACTCCACTTTGGGTCAAATCACTCTTGGGCCAATGAACCAACGCATTAATCCACTGGGCCATGATATATCCAAAGGCGTGACATGTGGAATTAGAACAATCTACCCCCGTGGAATAAATAAAGGGTTCGATTCGAAATTCCAATAAATATCACCTAAGAAGGCCGTAACGTACAACGGCCGAAACGTCGTGAATATGGCAATAAAGATGAAGACAACAGTCTGAACAATGTAAATAGTATAAATAGAGATGAAGAAGCAACACAATTTAAGAGAAAGAGAATAGATGGCATAAAGAAGAAAGGGCAGGAGAAAAACGAATAGCAAGATAAAAAATATATCCAAAAAAACTACAAAAGAAACGGTAAAATAGATAAAAGAAATCCAGGTGAAACTTGCAAAATAAAATGACTTCCTCAGCAATCATCAACGTGACGTCACACAGCTTTTGCCGCCCTTTATTGACATCAAGCTGTTAATTAACCAGTGGGGACGCAGGACAGGTGTCACGTGTTTCTTTAGCACCGTCAATAATATGTGGTCTATAGCAGCAATTATACCGGTCACGTGGATGCTGTCTAAGACCGGATATCCGTCCATGTCTGAAAGTATTTCACAAACGGCTTTTCTTTGTGAAATACAGATTTAAACAAAGAAAATAATGCTGAACTGCGATGTAATATCAATCCCCTTATATGGCAAAGAATACTAGACAATTTCCTCCATGGTGGAGAGGAGGCTTGAAGCAACAGAGATATGGTACTACAGAAGGATGGTGAGAATACTTTAGAGGATGTTTGCAATCAACGATGAAGAAGCGACTTGACGCAATAGAAATGATGTTCTATAGAAGGATACTGAGAATACCATTGACTGAACATGTGAGCAACTTTTAGGGAAAATGGAAACAAAAATGGCACTTATATTTATTATCAGGATGAGACAGCTGAAATTTCTAGAACACATAACGAGGAAAGAGAGCTTGGAAAAGCTGATACTCAAAGGATTGAAGGCAAGAGAGAAACAACGCATAGCCTACCAAGCGAATTTGAGTAAATGAATGGCAGAAAAGGGTTTAGGAGAGGTAACAAAAAATTATTAAGAGCTACAAACGACAAGAAATTGTGGAGAGCCATGATCGCCAATGTCCTGAAGCACACAGAAGAAGAAGGGATATAAATAAGTGATAATCCAAAGGACAATTTTATTAATTCGTTTTCTACGGCTTATCAACCATTTTCAGGTTATTTAAAGCCAGAAAATAGTTTTTTCGAGGTCATAATGATTTAGTGATACATGTATTACTAATTAACCTATAGCTGGGGGAGTAGAAGTGGATTCTTACATTTTCAAAGATTATTTGCGCATAAGTGAATATAACAGACACCGGGTATTGCGAAGCGATCACCCATCAAGATACTGATCAGATGAATGTTGCTTAACTTCGGTGGTCGTACGGGAACCGGTGTTCAAAGCTATATGCGTAAGCCCCTTATATCGCGCGAACATCCAAGTTTACTACACTTGGAATTCCCAAGTTGTTACCCATCCAGTTTCTGACCAGGTTCGATAATCGTACAGAAACCGGTGTTTCAATACTATATGGCCGTAGTCTCCGAAGGACAAGGTCAGGTGAGTCTAGTGGTTTATAGTAGGATACACCAACCATTCTTTTGCAACTCCAAAGGGGGATGAGACCCGGCGTTGTTCTGATGGAAGATGATATCCATCAAATTCGCCAGTTCCGGATGTTTTTTCGTTGATTGCTGTGTCTAATCGGGCCAATTGTGAGCAGTACTTATCTGAATTCTAATCCCACCAGATCATTACCTTCTTCGGATGCAAACTGGCTTTTCGTTTTTCTTCCCGGGAGCTTTCTTCGCTCCATATTGTTGTAAACAATCCATTTTTCATCGTCCGAGAATCGCACATTGGAAGGCGGTTCCATTCATTTTATTTTTCGGTTAAATTGTAAGGCACCGAAACATCGTAGTGATTCACATATTCAAGTTTCTTTAAATGCCTTACAACGCTCATGTGTGATATGTGAAGTATCTAAGCGATACCCCGTATCGTGTGAACTGGATTATATTTAATCATCGTTGGGCACTTCGACGTGGAGTAAGCTTGTCTCGCTAGATCAATTACGACTGAATGGTGAGTTCGATCCTCACTCGGTACCCGATACTTTCAACCTTGTGCTACATCTAAGGTACGCTTAGTGAATCACTTTAGGTCACTTCAGCAAGCATGTCTCTCTAGTTCTGTTATGACTGAATAGTGAGTTCGATCCTCACTAGGTGCCCCATACTTTCGGCCTAGTGTCACATGTAAGCTACGCTTAGTAAATCTCTATATTAAATCATCGTTTCAATTTAGTCATTTCCAACGACCGCCAGCTGAGCGGAACATTTTTCTATCTTCCAGATTGAATTTTCCATTTCTGAACTTAGCGAGCCATTTACGAACTCTACACTTACATATGGATGTCAGTTATCAGTTATCTCCTGTTAATTTCCCTCTCCAAGTTCTCCACTGCCTTAACCGGGTATTGAACTCACACTTTGGATTCTGCCACTGGATCTAACCAACGCCTTTATCCACTGTGCAATGTGTCCTTGACATCCATTAAACATGGCACGTGGAACTAGAACAGTCTACCCCAGTGCGCGAATTAAAGGATTCAGTTCGACATTCCAACCACCGGAAGAAGACCGGAGCGTACAACGGCCGAAATGTTGTAATAAATATGGCGACAAAGATGAGGACAATAGTCCGAATAATGTAAATAGTGTACATAATACCTCATCTCAGAATCCTCTGCACTATCCCCGGATTGACACCCAACCACACTGAAATGTTCATATTGGAGCTTTCGATGCGAATGCCAAGCAGTACAGCATGCTATTTCCAGGCGGAGTGAATTTCCTCATGGTGCTCCTTTTCTCACAGACGGTGCCCAACTGACCCTACTATACTGTGCAGTCGACAAAATCAGAAACAAACAACGCGCAGTATCTGTCTATATTTCTGAGATGAGGTATTATGTAAACTGTTTACATTATTCGGACTATTGTCCTCATCTTTGTCGCCATCTTTATCACAGTGAGCGAAATAAAGGGTTCAGTTCGACATTCAAACCACCGGAAGAAGGCCAGATTGTACAACGGACGAAACGTTGTAATAAATATGGCGACAAAGATGAGGTCAATAGTCCGAATAATGTAAATAGTGTACATAATACCTCATCTCAGAAATATAAACAGATACAACGAATTTTTGTTCCGGTCAAATATTCACGTTAAATAAGGATCAAGGTGTGGTATCTGTTCTCGTCATTTTAGATGGGAGAAGGCGCCTGTTACCTGGAATTGCCACCAAGAGATTGCGTCTACCTCATTGCACTAAGAGACGTGTGTCGGTGTGACCGTAGTCGCCATGACAGTCATTTTTATTCTTGGCCCACATGTCCGCGTATAATGACTTTGCGTCACATTCTGCATTCGTAGGAAGGTCAGGTAAATAAAATCCATAAATTGTCTGACATTCCTAGAATTATTATCCTTCTTCTATATGTGTTATGGTGTAATGAATAACGGCTTGGGATGAGAAATCGGAGAGCCGAGTTCGAATTCTAGTGGGCGTTCTCTAAATTCACTTAAGCACAAATACCATTGGAAAAGGGTATTCCATCACTTCTTCCTCCAGCAATGGGTAAAATAACAGAACAGATTGGATCCTGTATCCTTGATTAGCAAATAATCTACCGCAGAAGAAACGACAGACTATCGCGTATGGTCCCTAACTGATTGACAATAATTCAGTTAGTTATATGCCATGCGTGATATACGCTTAAGTGATCATTTATCTTTCGATTTTTTCTCGCAGTAGGTTGCCATTTCTTTCTGTGATAGACCAGTTGCCATCCAGTGCTATAGAACCCGGTCTGTCCTGCTATTTACCCATAGCTGGGGGAAGAAGAAGAGGATTAATACCTTTCCTAAGGGTAACGTAAGTAAATGTAATGGATTCAACTGGAATTCGAACTTGGCTCTCGGATTCCTCAATCCGAGCCGTGACGAACTAATATCCTCATCTTTGCTGAACTAAATTTTGACTTAAGCATTCTACATCTTTTTATTCTTGTCTAGCATTCTGAAATGAAGTATTGTTATCTATCCATAAATAATTCGGACAAGCAAGTTTGATTTCTCTTGTATAACTACTACTTTTCAGCCGATGAACGCTCGAGCCCTCCTCAATATCTAAAACCCTGAATTGAAGCGTTATTCCATAAATTATTCGAATTCGTATTTTTATCTTTGTTTTGATCACTATTTTAACCAATATGCTTTCCAGCATTCTATGCGTTGCCTAAAGTTCAGCGATGTCATAATGTTTATTATATATGATTTGTTCAGACGATTATCCTTGCTATTGTTTTATTGATCCTCATGTTTTACCCAGACGTTCTCTGGTGTTGCCGAGTGCCTTACTAAAAGATTGACGAAGATTTTTTTTTTTTTTATCTTCGTAACTATTTGTCAAACGACCTTTCATTTGAAGCCACACGGCGTACTCAGGAAGAAAAAGAAAAGAAAGAAAGATAGCGGGTGGAGCATAGAAGGAGACAGAATCAAGGAATTAAATAAAAGGGAGCAAAAAAAAAAAGAAGAAGAATTGAATGAAGAAGTCGAAGGAAAGCACAGAATAAAAGAAAGGATTTGAAGGAAAGAAGTAAGGAAGAGAAAGATGGAGAAAAGAAAGGAAAAATCTACCTAAAAGGCAGGAAAGGTTAAAGGAAGAGGAAGGGAGCTAGAAGAGGAAAATGATGCAACAAAATGTACGAAGGAAGGAAGGAAGAAGAAGAAGAAGAAGAAGAAGAAGAACCAGAATGCACAAAAAAAATAACGAACGAACGAATGCGTAAGAAAGAGAATATAACAAAAAGGAAGTGAAAATGAAGGACTTTAAAAAAGATTCACAAAAGGAAGAGGGAAAAGAAAAAAGGTAAACAAACAGAAAAGGAATCAAAAAATGTTTAAAAAAGAAAGAAAGGAAGGAAGGAAGGAAGGAAGGAAGGAAGGAAGGAAGGAGAGCCAGAATGCACAAAAAATAACGAATGAGAATTAAGAAAGAGAATATAACAATAAAGAAAGAGAAATGAAGGAAGTTAAAAAATATGCACAAAAGGAAGGGGTAAGAAGGAAGATAGAAAAAACAGAAAAAGAATAAACAAAATGTTTAAGAAAGGAAAGAAGGAATGAAGGAAACTGAGGAATATGCAAGAAAGGTAGAGAAAAATTAAAGGATCTAGAAAAAGGAGAAAAGGAAGTAACAAAAAATATGAAAACGGAATGAAGGAAAAAAAGTAAATTGAAGTATACAAAAAGAAAGAAAGAAAGAAAGAAAGAAAGAAAGAAAGAAAGAAAGAAAGAAAGAAAGTAGAACGAGAAGGAGATAATAATGCAGAAGAATGTACGAAGGAAGGAAGGAAGGAAGGAAGGAAGGAAGGAAGGAAGGAAGGAAGGAAGGAAGGAAGGTAAAGAGGAGACAAAAAAAATCGATGTTGGAGTGCAAAAAAGCGTTAGCCCGTATTTAACTGAGAAGGAAATAAGGAAAGAAAAAAATCAAAAAGAAAATAGAGAAGCAAACAAAAAAAAAAGGTGAACGAAAAAGTAACCATGAATGAAAGAAAGAAAAAATTCAAAAAAAAAGGAAACGGGAAGAGAATAAGTAAACAAAAAAAAGCAAGAAATTTAGAAAAACAAACAATAATAGGAAAGAAAAAAGAAGGGGTAGAGAAAACTAGTAGAGACTAGAAACACATAAAAAGAATGGGAAGGAAGAAAGGAAGGAAGGATGTGGCATGAGAAGGAGAAGTGTGTTAAGGAAATGGCAGAAAAGAAGTAAACAAAAAGAAAGAAGGAATGAAAAAGAAAAAGAAAGAAAAAGAAGTTAATAAGGAAACTGTAAGAAATCAACTTGCTTCGCTTTTTATCGTTCTTCTCTTCTTTTTTCTTTTGCCTTTTTTCTCCTTTTCTCTTTTTTTACCTTTATATGATCCTTCTTTTTTTTTCACTCTCTCTCCTTTTTTCTCTCTCTCTCTCGTTTATCCTTTTGCCTTTTTTCCCTCTTCATGTTTTTTGACACATTTCTTTCTTTCTGCAACATTTCCTTCGTTCTTTCACACTTATTTGTCTTCTAATTCTCTTGTTCGACACTTCCTTCCTTCCTTTTTTTCCTTCTTCCTTCCTTCCTTCTCACTCGTTTTATCTGTTTCTAGTCTCTCTTTTTTTTCTCTACCCTTCCTTCCTTCCTTATTTGAACCAGTTCCTTTTGGTGCTTCAAATTCCCAAAAGACTTCCCTTTACTATCCAACGTGACTTTTCATCAGCCTAGAATGAATTTTTCAACTGGCAATCAAAAATAACTGTTACATTGTGCCCTTCCACCCCTAAACTAAAGCCTTGAGACCCGTAATCCTTAATCTAAGGGCATAAGGCTCATATAAGGATCAGAAAAGAAGAAAGACTTATTCTTCCTCTTATTTTAAAGAGAACGTGTTGACGTCTTCAAGTGTCGTCTACACCCGATGGACTCCCATCCCAACTCTGCTGAAAGATGAACCGACTTTTTCGGCAGAGGGGGATAGCAAGTGAGGAAGAATCGCGCAAGTTACAGAGTCCGGCCACTGAGCATGCATCTAGGCATGTTTTCACGACTATTTCTACCAAAGTTCACTTTCAACCGACTAAAAAGATTATACCCCCGAATCAAATGCAATCAGCTTAATCGGTCCCGATTCGATATGTCATAATCTGAACAACGTTTCATAGTCCAGCTCAAGGTCATAGGTTTGAAGCACCAGGAGAGAATATGGCTTACTGTTCTAGCTAACTGGATTATGAGATTAGCTTTCTAACCCTTTTGTCTATGATATCTGCCCAAAGTACTCAGTGAGGCTCGAGTTCAATGCCAACGTACTTGTCTACAAGACTAGCTTACTTATTGTCCCTTTTACCTAAAATTAATATTAGCTAAGTCCGCCACAAGATTAAACACGCGAGGCCAACATGGAGGCTAAAGTTCACTCAACTAGCGACGGTATTATTTCGCCCATTACAAGGCCCAAGAGTCATTCAAGGTAGAGGGTTACTTAGTGATATTGTAAGGGAAAAGGAAGTAAAATATTATGAAGATGAATAGGATAGATATCAGTTGAAACTGGACTTGTAGTTGTCAGGGAAGCACTCTCTCGGGAGTTAGTTCTGGGAAAAGATTTGTCTGAGTAGAACTTGCTTTTTATCTAAGGAACACGAAGGGAACGGGGATAATTTGCCACCGTGAACACGACGTGGCAGGTTCTAGCTGTGATTGGTTGGTTGATGTTGTTTAGCGGCATATAAACTGCTATGGGCTTTTTAATGCCGAAATCTAAATATTTTGAACGAATTTTCATGTCTTCAACTACACATAAAGTGTATTGTTGGTCGTTTGCTATACAACGTATTGTGGGTAATTCTTTTATAAAATGTACTACGTGTCATTTTGCTATAGACAACTTTTTTAATTAAAATATTTTTAAGTTAAAGACAGACACAAAGAGATCCTGATTTGCTGTTTCGTCCAGTTGTTTGTAGAGTAATTATTTACTTTTCAGCTTTCTTTAAACAAACGATATTTTAAATATTTAGCAAATATTTCATGGCATATTTAACATGAACTTGTAAATCATACCAATGATGACACGAATGAATTGAAATATTTAACTGAATCCTAATAAAATCAAATTTCATTTCAATGAAATGTTGAAATCGACTTCAGTGTTTTATAACTTGAACTGTCAGTGACCAAACGCGTCACGGGTAGTTTGGTTTTACTCTTAAAAAAATAAAAAATTATTTTTATATTTGCACAATGTTCTGTTTTTGTTTCGTTTTTTTGGGAGGGCACTATTTGCCCATAACTGGGATCCTAATAAGTGCTACCACACCGGGTCAGGGTGAACCTGGGAACAACAGCAATTGTAGGCATTCGAAGCAAAGAGACTCTTTGAGGTTTTCACCACACATCCGGATTGGAGCAGGTTTACATTCAGCTCGGTGGTGAAAAGATATTACTAGTTTAGTTTTTTTAATGTATTGAATGATATCTGGCACTCTCTTCTCCGTAAACATGTGACCGGCCTAGCTCGAGAAGTTCTACTATCCAGGCCGGTGGTCATAAAACTCTCTGTTTAAAAAAACAAATAAAAACAGGGGTAGCAATTCAACCACGTGTAGCTATAACACACACACACACACACACACACACACACACACATATATATATATATATATATATATATATATGATTTAGAGATCAAATGTAGATCAAATAAGGATCGGAATCCGACAGGATGATAAAATAAAAGAACAAATAGGAAACGAATCTCAATCTAACATGTTTCACTTTTATTAAAGCTTCGTCAGAAATTGAGACAAAACAGATAAAAAGCCAGAAAACACTGATATTTTCAATTATGTTTGGGTCAGTTCTCATTGGTCAGACACGTGTCACGTGTGTTAAAACTGTAGATAATTCTATGAGTGTGTAAGTTTGTAAAGATTCTTGTATGTCTAAGTGGGCAACGGATAGTAATGTGTATTTGTAATTGTGCGCGGGTGTCCGTCTAATTTGAGTTTTATCTTCACCTTTGTGCGGTCAGCCCGCGCAGCGGGGAGTCACGAGGTTCTAATTTATGGTTCACCTCTTTAAGAATGTATTCTTTGTATTAGATATAAGTTAAATTCTTTAAGAATGGATTCAAAGAAAGATGACCATGCAATGTAATGTTTTAGGCGTGTGTTTATAGTTGGTAGTAATGTCATTATTACGTTTTCAATGTATTTTCTCCTTAAAGAATTATGTTCTTTTTTAATTAGGTGGCATTAGTTAAACAAGTTATGATCAGTATCGTAATATATATATATATATATATATATATATATATATATATATATATATATATATAAACATATATATATATACACAAACTGATATTCATTCAACTAAATACACACACACACACACACACACACATATATATATATATATATATATATATATATATATATATATATATATATATATATATATTGTAAATGAATATTGAATTAAGGCCAGAGGCAACAGGTTGTTTCATGCTGGATGCAATCGTCAGGCGGCCTGACAATTGCATCCAACATGAAGCAGCCTGTCGCCTCTGAGTGTTGACTCCAATGTTAACTTTTATATTTATATTTACATACGCTCTATCTCTGATATTGAGCACTTTTTCCCATAAATATAGCACACCTTAAAATTATTTTTTATCCTATATATATATATATATATATATATATATATATAGGAAACGGGAAGAAATCAGATGAAGCTAAGTCTGATGAGTAAAGGGGATGAGAGAGTTTGAATTCAATGAGAGAGTTTGCTGATTCAGCTACTATAACCGGATTACTCTAAATAGGCGCCTTATTCTGGAGCAAGAGCACACCTGCTCTCAGCGTTTCGACTTGATTGCTTCCTTCTATTGTCTTAATTTTCATGCTTAGTACTCTCCATTTATAGTTCATCCCTTTTCCACGCAGGCTATCATGATTACGCTTCATAATTCGAAAAAAACAGAAGCCAGCACCTTGCCAACAGACGCTATCTGCTTGGATTTCTTAGCGGGTGGAGAACCATAAGGTTTTCACTGTTTGATTTGAATCTTTGATTCAGGTTCGAAGTTGTGAACCCAAGTTTCATTTTGAGTTACTAATCTGCGCCGGAAAATCTCAGGGTCAGTCTGGAAAGCGAGTCAGAAGTATCCTAGAAATGTCAGCCCTTTTCATCTTATCCTCTGGTGTCAGCATTCTTGGGACCCATCTTGCAGATAACTTATTCATCTCCAAGATCTCAGTTAAAACAATATGAATCGAACCATGATTAATGCCTTCTGGCGTCTATCATCCAAAATCATGCGGTGAATGTCATCAACTAGTTTATCAAGTAGTTAAGGTTTTTGAACAACCTGACCGAGTGTCATCTTCTCTGCTGTGAATTCCTCACAGTTACATAGGAAGGTGAGCCTTCAGTAAGTGACTGTAGCATGCGGGTTTCCTTGGGTGTCCTACCTTTCGTTTGCAGATGCTTTATGACTGCTCGGGCCTCTGTTTTGTCTATTTTTAGATTTGGAGCACAACCCTCACTTTGTATGAGTCTCACCTGCACCGAAATTAAGACAAATGTTTTTTCTAGTTTTAAAAGAAATGGTAGTGTGTTGCCGCAACAAAAATATTCAGTTATGGTTCTTCTTTCTGGGAGAGGCTAAGAACGTTTGAACGACCCTCGTAATTTGTAACCAATATAAATGTAGGTAAAAAAAAAATGTTGATAAGATAGCGAGGATCACAAAGCACTACCCAGGGCCCAAATCAGAGGCTCCCGGGGTGTCGAAGCTAATACGCCCTGCATGTAACCATAAGATTTTTTCTGTTGGTTCATAAACAGTATTTTTGTCTTCAAAAAAAACAAAATACTTTTCAATGACTTGTTGTCGCTTATCAGGCAACTTATCGACTACCTATTCTATATATAAAATTCTATAACTTATTTAACGTGAATATTTGACCGGAACAAAAATTCGTTGTATCTGTCTATATTTCTGAGATGAGATATTATGTACACTATTTACATAATTCGGACTATTGTCCTCATTTTTGTCGCCATATTTATTACAACGTTTCGGCCGTTGTACGCTCCGGACTTCTTCAGGTGGTTGGAATGTCGAACTGAATCCTTTATTTCGCTCACTGGGGTAGACTGTTCTCGTTCAATTTTTCATCATATTTTAAATATATTTCATTAGGATGATGCATCTTTCATTAAAATCAGTTCCCCGTCCGGGGTAAGACGATAAACTACTTCTGCCTCATGGGTAAGACGAT